TTCAGTAGAAGCTGCTGGGAGTCCCAGCAGCTTCTACTGAAGCCAGTCCCTAACTCCGGGGACTTCCGGCCGAGGACTTCGGGTGGCAGTATACGCCGTGAAGTTGTTTGCGGCCTGCCAGTAAACCCAAAGCAGAAGCAGAAGAAGAAGAAGTGACGTCAGCGGCTTCACTTGCCTAATCCTCCCTCTGGGACTTATTCCGGTACGGCAAAGTACTTGGTGTGAAAGCGCCTATAGAGACCTTTTTTCCAGTATAATTGAACTCGATGATGCTATGCATGTAGTGTCACTTTCCAGGAACAAAGACCCGGTTACTAAAGATAATCCACAGACCTTGTTGTGAGCACTTTAATGTGTGTGAAATGTTTTCTTTCTACCGAACCACACCCACGAGCACTATTAAGAAAATAGTACCATCTTGCTCCATTATATCTGAGAGAAGGCAGACATCTCCTACACTTGGTAATTCACACCAGGACAGTCTAGATTGCTGAAAAGCACTACAGGGAAAAGGATTAGATTTGCTGTTTATTACAGTGAGATAAAACCGGAAATTAATAAATAAATGATTAAGAAATAGACAGATGGGAAACAAGACTTCCTTTGCTTACGGGCTAAGGGTATTATGAAGAGTGAATTCCACTTGTGTGTCTATATCATGGATTTATAATAGGAACGGTCTGTATACGATTAATATGAATCTAGTGGCCTTTGGCTGTAGCTTCAGACAAAAGAGAGTGGCATCTGTATTCCCATGTGACTAAATGAAATAAATAAACCGCCCAAAACATTAAAATATGATTTTTTTGTTGTATATATATATATAGAGGGATCAACATCCACAGATATAACTGGGGTTCATAAGACAGTTTAGCAATATACTTCCACAGTTAGGAGGTGTAATTATGGGGTTTCTCTTCTTATTTTAAAGCTCTAATCTAAACCACAGGAACAAAATACATATATGTGGTAATTACTACAACGCAACTGTTCTCTGTTTCTAACAGCTATAACAAAGGTCTGATGAAATAAATCTGTGCGACTGTGGAGACATACTTCCAACTATTGAACAGAACATATTTTGCTTTGCTGGCTGTTCTCTTGTGTAATTGGGCCTTCATCCTGTGGGTACGCCACCAGCTCAGCCTTCACAACCATCTGAGCAGTTCAACACGCAGAGCAGTGGAGGGATGGAGGAAAGCAAAAATGACAAGGACAAAGACATGAGAGAGGATGATGACAGTGGGATAATGCAGACCAGAGCCAAGAGGGGGAGGACAATGAACAGGAGACGATGAGGGGAAGGGTCATGGATTGAGAAAAAAATGGAAAATAAATGTGAGAAACAGACAATAAAGTGAAGCATGACATTAATGTGCACCAACAGAAAGTGAAGACAAGAATATTAAGACATATCTTCCATCTAATATCTAACAGAACATCCAACTTTAATTTGCCTATTTATCTACTTCCCAAAAAAAGTTATGCCTTGTGTATCCTGGATCATTAAAACAGTGGACTAGGGAAGTCTAAAGTGATCTAATGTAATGCTATATGTGTACCTCTGGATGCTTAAGCCACTACATCCCTTTCTTATGACCAATGTGCAGTGAGTTGAACTATTTTATAAATATATTCACACCTAGTAAAGAATTTTGAAGCTATATGTGGCAGCAGTTGAATCTGAGGCAGGCTGCGTGACCGTTAAGAGCAGAGCACACGGCTGAACGCAGGCCCTGGTTGGCTGTCTGATTAACGAGCTGCCGAAGCCTGGTGTCGGAGCCTTGAGTGATCCCGGCCTCGCTATCTGATCCACCGACAGAGGAGCATGACGGAGGGGCTGCTCGGCAGATACAATACTGTCGGGGTGCTGACCCTCGTGTTCAGCTCTCTGAAGCTGACAGCTGATAATGAGGCTTCGCTCGCCCCGCAGCTACACCAAGAGCCTCAGATCTATATTCACTTCCGAACGTCTTCAGCTTTTAGGTGTATGGAGAGTGCTTTTTTAGATGGAAAATGTACCAAACTGAAAGAAATGGATATATTTCTCTATTAGTCAATAAACAAAATGTTGGTCTGCAACTTAAACTAATATTTCTGCTTTTCTCTGTTTTCAATTTTAAACGTGTTTTGGACTGATGCTCAGGCGTAGCTTTTGAAGAATGTCTTGTTATTCAGTCCAAAAGACTGAGATATTCAGTTTAATATGATATTAAATGTAGAAAAGCAGGGAATCATCACATTTGAGAGGCTAAGAAACTGAAATAATGCTAAATCAATTATTTAAATAGTTGCTGGTTCTTTTTCTGCTGACGGAATAATCAAAGCAGCTCAAAAAGCAATAAGGTCTCAGAACATGAACGTTTTGATCATATGTTTTTTAGAGTCCATTAGTCACCTGGGCTGGCTGCTAAAAAGTACACTTAGTATGACCATGCATCAGAAGTTGAAACATATCATTTTGGAACTAAAATCACTTCACAATGTTGACTTTTTCACGTTTCTGTCAACTAGCCTTTTTTCCGCGTAGACCAACGATTAGCCTGGATTAAAGCACTTTGCTTTATTGACAGAGCTATCAAGGGAGGGGAGGAAGAAGAAAGTAGACGGACAGCTCCATTAGTCGACAGTCATTTTCAGTTAGTCAGCGGCCGTGTTGGTGATGGGAGAGGGGCTTGAGAATTTGGCCAGTGTTTCCCTTACATGCTCTCCCTTCTCTGGGGGTCCTGACCTCTCTGTAGCCCCCAGGCTCATCAACCACTGCCCAGCCAGTGTGGCTCCAAGCGGTCATATCAGAGGCAGGATTAATGCTTCTGGGGGAGGTGACCTTGTAAATCCTACAGCTGCCACCACTGGGCACCTTGGTCTGGATGGCAAGCTGAGACCCCATTTCAGCCCAAAACGGTGGGAGATAAACCAAATAAATCAGACAACCAATCCTAACCTCCTCACCCCTACGACGGACTACCTTTAACCTCTGACTTCACGCGTTAATGTGGTCAACGTGGGTCTATTTGCAGATGGCCAGTGTCAGTGGCAGGTAGACTATCACAGGAGGCAGACGTAACAAACTCGTGTTTACACAACAAAAGGTCCTTTACAGTGTGTGGCGACCTCCACTGACCTAACACACTCACTGTGACCTCCCTTAACTTCAGGGAGCACTGCACGTAATATTAGGAGAGAGGAAGCGGGTAAATATCACCGGATACTTTCATTCTTTTACCAATCGGTTTTACATTTGAGAACTTTTCTGTAGGAAATGTGTCCCTAAAACCAGCTCTCCTGTTGCTGTTTTCACAAAGGTTCTGACATTTATTAATTATTTTCTGTAGTATAGAATTTAGATTACAGTAATATTTGTTAATTTATAGTATTCTCTAAGAATTGTATTAAATATTTTACACAGCATCGTGGTCTAATAGAAGCAATACACCTTCATTGACTCTTAAACACTTAAAGAGTAATGGCATCCCATGCATCTATTTTATGTTATTTTTTAACCACTATTAGCGCTACTAAACATGTCGCATTCACTCATTAGTTCATCCATTTTAGAGATATCTAAGTTTAATTATTTTCGAAGTTCGGTTTTAAAACCTTCATCAGGCTTGTATCCTGACATTCTTGACTTAATTACCTCGTGTTTTCTTATTAATTAGTGTGCACACGGCACTTTAGTTGTGAATAACCTGCTTAATTTACAAGGACAATGGGATTGATCATTATAAGGACACTGGTACAAACAAATCTAATGTTTAAGAACTTCATCTGACATAATATTTCTTATGACCTTCTCAAGTAACTTAGCAAAATATTGGTAAATGAAGCACTTTGAACAGCGGCTGGTTCCAAACAAAGTGTCCATTTCTATCTTGTTCGGAACAAATACACAATTTAAAGTATGAACGCTGCCTGGAGCTTTTGGTGACATTTGAGGAGTGACCTTGATGCCATTATGGCTCACCTGGGACTGCTCAATTTCTGCTTTGTTTAGCTTTACACCAAGAATCTCAGCAGCCACTCTCTGGAAACAAAGGAACACCTAGCAGGAGAGATAACAAACAAATAGGACCCGTTAGGTGTAATCAAAGTCACTCTGTACTTTAAATAGTGACTTATTGAATCAGCTGGTACTTACTGAATCCCCTGTCTTGGCAGATACGAACTGACTGATGAGGCTGTTCTCTTGGCAGAAACGCTGGTGTTTGTCAGCCTTCACTGTCCTCATGTGCTCCAGGTCGACTGTGGACGAAACACAGCGTGACACGTGAGAAAACGTTACAAGATAGACAGATTTATGCGGTGGTTATACAGCACTCTTGCAGGGTTAACTGTCACGTATCTGAACATAAACAAAAAATATAACTGTTTACACTTGAGTTAAGATGGAAGGGGATCTGCCTAGTGTTAACGAATAGGCACGTATAACAAAGCATAATTCAATTGTTATGTTGCTTTCAAACCCGGCTGCTAGTTTAATATTTGTATTTATGGAGGAGGTCATTTCAGGGAGTTTGAGAGTGGAAATGATCGTCTCTCTAGCCTCGAGCGTCCATTACCAAAAGCTGGATGTGACACATTCCTCGGTGTAAGCTTCGTACAGTTGAACCCCGAAGCCATGAACCTCTATTTGACCCGAAACAGACAAACCAGCCCAGCTGTGGAGAAATGCTTAAGACACAATACGTTGATGACCAAAGTCTTCAGGCTACTCTCACAGTGAGAGCGTGGATGGAGAAATCAGACTGACTTATGGGTGCGTCCTCCTTTAAGGTTGGCAAACAGGCCCTAGAACTGGGACTGTCACCTTCATGCTGATTTACCGTGAGCTCACAATGACACGCCTTCCTCTTTAGCCATTGTGATGTGCATTCGACTCCTGTGCAGTGATACCGGGCGCTTTGCTTCTCTCCTTCCTCACTATGGGGTCATGCTGGGGTCGATGAGGAAGGTCACCTGGGGGTCTTGCAGCTGAAAGCAGTAGCTTGGCTCTTTATTTCTGGCTTTGTGCGGAAAGGCTGCCACGCCCGGTATCTGGTTTGTACGTGTCTATGGTAGCTGGAGGAGGTCAGGCTACTGTACGGTGTAGCGTTTCTCTCGTCCCCCCGAGTTTTATTCTTTGTGTGAGGTTTCATTGAAGTTGTCGAGGATTTACCCCGTTCTCATGCCCCTGTGTGTGTGTGTGTGTGTGTGTGTGTGTGTGTGTGTGTGTGTGTGTCGTCGTGTGTCGTGTACGTGTGTGTGTGTGTTGTGTGTGTGTGTGTGTGTGTGTGTGTGTGTGTGTGTGTGTGTGTGTGTGTGTGTGTGTGTGTGTGTGTGTGTGTGTGTGTGTGTGTGTGTGTGTGTGTGTGTGGGAGGGAGGGATAGAACCAGAAGCAGAGCAAGAGAGAGACAGATACATACAATTGTAAACAGTGAACTAATCCTGAATTATTAATAACTCAGTAAGTCATATGACCCAGAAAAGTTAAAGGCCAATCCACAACGACCACAAAAAATACATTTGGAAAGAATCATTTTAGACTCAAACGAATATTACCATCATCATGTCGTCATAAGTGACATATAAACACAAACCTTTCTGGGCAGGGTTAGACACTTTTACCACTACTCAGTGTCCAGGGCAGACTGTCATGTCTCGGCCTGTACATAAACAGAGCTGTCTCATAGGCGTCAGCAGGTTATTAATTCCAGTCATTAACAGTGGAGGTACCCAGCATGCTACTAGAAGTAAACACTGCTAATCCTTTGGATCCTGCACACTTGGGAAAGGTTATCAATCATGTGTGACAGTCAGATTAGCCAACATTAACATGGTGGCTCAGGGGCTGAGGAAGGCACGTTACTGTTAGTCAAAAAGGTGTAGTGAGGTTTCTGATTCCTGCCTGTGGGAATGTGCACCAAGGGGAGGGGAAATGAAGAAGTAGGCAAGAAAAAAGGGAATAACTTCAACAGAACTAGAAGAGGCCTTATTTCTTAAGTACATCGCAGGTGGAAAACCTTTAGAAGTTAATAATATCAATGTCATTTTTTTGCGATGTATAGCATTTGAAGCATTAATGATTTTTAGGTGTTGCAATGTATTCGCTAAAAGGCATTTGACATTGAGGTCAGTGTCAATTGAAGTGTAAACTATGAGTGCATTTGAGTTTCAGTTCAATAAGTTCAGTTAAAGTTGCACCAAAGATAGTTTAAGTGTGTGCTGTGTAAATAATTGTCATTTGTTATGTAAGCAGTGACAACAGTGGGGATATGAGTTGAAGTATTCAAACTGTTAGTTGAAAAGTATGAAATGAAGTGCGAGCTGATGTGTAGCAGCTGCAGATTTGAGTCTCTGGGCATGTTGTCATTGAATTGTAGATGTTCAGCTTTCTATTTTAAGAACTCAGGGAAAATTTCAAGATCAGATGATACAGAGAAATCTACAAAATGTCCCCGATATGCATAAAATACCAGACCTATTTTTGTTATTCGTTGAGTCCATGATTTGTGAACAACTTCTCCTTTTATGTTCAAACTAATACTTAAGGTGGACCCATGTTCTCACGCAAAAGATGTTTCCGCCTTTGTCTTTGTAAACTGAAGACTAATCCCACAATTTTAGTCTTTTGCTCAATTTTTCTCCCTAATGTACCCATTTCTACTTATCAGGTCAAGACAATCTTCCTCCGATGATCTGGTTTCCCTCTGTTTCTGTCAAACTGTACATCAGCTTAACAACCCAGAGGAAGTGACTGCAAACACGAAATAAACTGTTTAGTCCTCCGAGCACATAGAGATAGTGGAGAGGATCATCACTCCCCAAGAGCGATGGCCCTCCCTCGCTCTGGTCACCGTCGGTGTTTATTTAAAAGGTCTGCCTGTCATTGCGGTGAATTACAAGACAACAGTTGGAGATTAATATCTGGCGGACAAATTGGGCTTTTACCGTAAATATCTGATTTGTTATTGTGGTGATCCATTACATTGAAGGAAACACAACCAAATGAGAGCAAACTATGAAGGCTCCTCTCCACATGTTAGTGTCTGTGGGGATGTCAGCTGAGCTCCTTCATGGAAAGACTCTGCTCAGTGGCAGACCTGATTATCCTGACAGCACACAGACTTGGAATTAGTAATAAGGTTTTATTTTTGGTTTGATGGATCCGGCCAGAAAATGCTCTCAAACCAACGCTGTTGCGATATCACCTTCCCTTAAATAATAGAAACATCTGCGAAAACTGACTTTGAAATAACTGAAGAAGCATTGTTACTTAAGCTTAGTCCTCTGGTATTTGGAAAACAAACCTTGTCAAGAGATGTCTGCCAGAAATCTATAAAAAAAACGTCTATAAATACTGTCTTATTCCTTTCCCAGTAAGTCATGAAAGCCAAACTTCAACCCAGTGAATAACATTACATGAATCCCTCGTGAAAAAGATGTCTACCTATTGTAAAAAATAAATATGTTGCTCTCTTTTAACGAAAAAGGTTGGTAAAGCAGCTGTTATTACTAAAAGCCTTTTGAAACACTCCCGACCTGTGTCATTAATTTAGCTAAACTGCCACTGGGGCAGCAGGTGATAATTGCTGGATAATGCTGATATAGGCCACCTTAACTTCATGTTGTTGTTTTTTTTAAATACAACTTTTAATTTGAAGATTTGAGCTATTTCTACAAAACATCCACACTCTTGCTTTAAATGGGAAAATTCACACCAGAACCAAAGTCAACTGGCACATACTTTGCATTTCCAGACACTCTATTGTTATTCTCATTGACACATTAAGAGGGCCAAATGTGGACGATGTGAGAATTCAGGGGTGACTATTTCTTTTACAGTTCACCAACACATGTTGCCAAGGCAAAACAATACGCTAATAGCTCTACGTTGGCCAACCAGCCTGGAAACCCAACACCGCACTGTGTGATCCTCAGTGGGCTTTTTAAAAACCATGCTGTGATAACAGAGACACCTACTTACTGTTCTGCCGAGTCGGCTGCTGGGGACCAATTGGAGCAGTTTACCCAGCGCGCAACAGCCAGAGAATAAGCTTGACATAACACAGTTAATTGCCGGCAGCCTCGTTTTAAACTAAACAGCAGTGGGTGCAGAGGGGAGTTTGAGGGCTGAGGGTGGAATGTGTGAACTACATGTGTGTCTATGTGTTTGTGTGTGGCGGTGGGTGTGTGTGTTGTCAGAAACGTGGGGCTCTGAGGGGTCATATCACATTAAGTGAAAGTTACAGGGTTGAGCCTAATCAACCCCAGGGGAGAACCTATCACTTCCAACATTACCTCACACTATGTCTTTAAGACCCTGTTAAGAGGGTTTGCCTCAGTTTCCCCTCAATGACGACCATGAAACAATTCAGACTGTTTAGTGAGGGCAAGGATTACTGATAATGAATTGACTTACAACTGTCTGAACACATTTTTCACTTGGCAAGTATCAATACATCCCAAAGATGTTTCCGCAGTCCTGACATTCAATGAAATCTGGAATATTACCTTTTTCTTTCAGATTTTGGGCCGCTTTGGTTATATGGAGATTCATGTTTATGCCTCAGACTCCTCTGCATCCACATACACCTCTGCACAGAAGTATTTTTGTGTTGCAGCCATTGCAACACACAAAGACATGACTAAAAATCTCTGTGAACAGCCGGGGGGGGAAATGAAATAAATAGGACCAGAGCAACACATTCTAATCAGCTCTAGGGGTTGCAGAGTGAAGATAGCCTTAAAGTGCTTATACGTCTCACTTTATTTTACATAAATGCTTCAGCAAAATGTCTTAAACATTAATTGGATCACAAGCCATAATCTGCACAAGCCATAATCTATACTCTAATGTATGGACCTTCATGTTTTTTCTGCAACAGTAATATAGTAGTCTACAAATTCAATTCAAATTGAGGAGTTTGATATCTCTGGCTTATGACTACTCTATGCTGATTTTAGTCTTCGTACTGTAAATGCATTGCCTGGCTGTGCTCTGTTTTATGCTTCCTTGGTCAACTCTGTCTTACAAGAGAAACCAAGTGGGAAATGATTCATTATTAGACTTTCACAATCTATCATAAATTGATATTAAACTGCAGGAGGTTGAAAAAGCAGCTGAAACATTTCTCCTCAATATTTTATAGTTTCAGTGGTTAGTTTAATTGCATGTGACATTTTATTTACTTTTAAATGTTCTGCTACAAGATATGGGGAAACATTTACTACCTTAAAAGTCAGTAGAAATTATAATGAATCA